GTCGCAAGCAAGGCCAGACAACCAACAGCGGGCTGTCTGACCGCATATGTGTAAGCATCCTGTTACATCTAGGCGTCAAGAACGAGTTCCCTCTGCAAGGGCCCTTTGGAACCCAATCGCTGCCTCCATTGCACAAACTTGTCGAACGACGTACGAGATCTCTCGTCTGCACCCTTCTTGCTGCAAAATCTTGGATGAGTCCTCCAAAATTTGGCCACCTGCAAAAAGAACAAGCTTTCTACCAGCTCTCACACCGATTCTTTCTGCGATGGTCTTGGAGAGGTCGTCAAGCTCTAGAGCTGCCATGCTTGAAACGAGATAAAATCAAGAGTCAAATCCATGAAAGAATCTGTGAGGCAAGCCGATGGTTGTTGCTACCTTGATCCCAGGTACTTGGCTTGATCTAGTAGGGCTGGAGAAGTGCGAGTGTCGCCCACCCTTGCAGGGTATCGGAATCGGACATAGCCTCAGGGAGCCTTCCCCTTCGGATTTGAGGATTTTGAGAAATATCTGGGGGACACTTGCTAAGCAAGGGGAGACCTGGTAATCAGGTAGAATCTGTACAGGAAATGCGGATGGAAATCGTGGAGCTTTTGGGCTCTTTGCCGTCGAAGCCACGGAACCGTCGGTTGCAGGGAGCTGAAAGCTTGTGCCATCGAGGCCGCTGATGGTCCAAAGGTGCTGGGAATTCCGCGCCTCCGCCACAAGCCTCAGGGTCCGCACATGCGGAACAACGGAGTCGCTGGAGAAGGGAGTCCGGGTGGGCCAAACTGCAGGGTATCTAAACGCAGGTTCTCGGTGATCCATTTTCGGCATTCCAGCCCACTCCAGGCCTGAAAAGAATCCATGGAAAAACATGCGTTTTGTATTCCATTCGTATCTTCAAGCCCATGCACAGCTCGAAAAGTCCATGGACAGCACCATGGAAGCCACATTCCAAGACCATCTTGTAGTTCCGCACTTTCTGGGGAATTTGTGGTGCGACAGTTTCGGTTATGAAGATCGGTCCCCGAATGATCCTCTTAGTATTCTGTAGTAAGCCCGCATCCCCTGTTGGTTCATTTCTCAAGCAAACTATTGAGCTATTACTTCCGCTTCCTATCAAGTACCGCTCTGAAGCTGGTTTTTGAGATTGATGGCTTTCGGAGGGCCCAAACAGTCCTGGAACTGGCTTGTAGACCTCGACCTACAAGCAATTGGTTGTCAAGTCTGGCTCTTTCAAGACATCAAGCACCTTCGCTGAAGAAACTACAGGAGCCAAACACAGCAAAACCCAGATGGAAAAGGACCCACAGGCAAGTCCCCCGTGCGTGGATCAACTCGTTCCGCTTCCCAACATTCAAAGGTCTAAACTGTCAATCCTGGTGGACAGTGGTGAACCTTCCCTATGACGCGCGCTCCTTTACCCAAGATCTTTCTCCTCCAAGTTGTTCACCATGAACACAAAAACATTCAAATTGCTTGCCATACAACTCCAAGCTGCTCCTCCGCCCTGCGCAGCCGCTCCGCACGCTGTCCTCTGCCATGAACGCCCGCTATGCACGCCCGCGTCCACTCCGGCCGGCAGTGTCGGGGAGCGCAGCACTGGTGGTGGCGCCCATGTGCGTTGAATGCGGGTGCAAACGACAACCTTTTGTGGTCTGGTTCAAAGGCTCCTAGTAGCGTCCTTTGCTCCTAGTAGTAAGGCCAGGAGCCCCTAGTAGCGTCCTTGCTCCTAGTAGCGATGCCAGGAGCCCCTAGTAGCGTCCACAATTCATCAGCTGATTGAAGTGTGGGAGTAGAACGAGAGTCATCTGTGGATGCAAGATGTTTTAAGTTTGAGCTCAATCATTTGCTCACATTTTCTTATGTGATGATTATATGTCCATCAAAATCCACGAGAACCCAGCGGTGACGGTGGGGTATTGTTTGGTACACATCGAACTCAATAGCTGTTGAGGTGCTTCACCCAACCATTTCGAAGCTGCACGCAGCGGAGTAAAAAAGCGGAGGACCTTGGACTCCGGACCAGTACTGCTTTGCTGGGACTTTGTAAAGCAACTCGTCATTCAAATCTGTCAAGGTCTACAGGTTGATTTCAGAGGTGGGCTCTACACTAGTCCAAACCCTCTTGGCAACCTTTTTTGCCCATATGAGAAGCCTGCAGCCCCGTGAACCAGGGCGAGAGCTTGGCCGCATACGACTGGCTTCCCGGGCGACTGGGGTGATCATGGGGATTCGGAAGATTCGGAAAAGAAGGCAGTCCACCAAGTCCTGGTTACAATCCACCAAGAAGGCAATCCACCTCATGCTACCTAAGTTCTCCTGTAGCTCAAGTGTTGTTGTTTTGAAGCAACAGGAGAACTCAGGTAGCCCCGATGAGGTAGCCAAGCCATTCGCGAATGGACGTGAAGCGAGCTGGTAGAATGATTCACGTGAAGCTGGACGAGAGTGAAGCGATTGACGAGTTCCATGGAGTTCGCCGTGAGAATGAGCCTTTTGCATCTAAAAACCAATTACTTTACTTCGAGTGATCCCCACCATGACATTTCAATCATTTAACTTGATGCCATAGTGAGGAGCATGTTGCCATGGTCGTGAGTATTGTAGTTCTCGATTTTGCTTGTGGGTCCTCGGGTTGTGTGCTGCGGTTGTGTGTTGTGGTTGTGGTTGTGGTTGTGTTTGTGTGTTTGTGGCTGTGTGTTTGTGATTGTGTGTTTGTGGATGTGTTTGCGGTTGTGCTTGTGGCTGTATGTTTGTGGTTGTGTCTTTGTGGTCGTGTTGTTGTGGTTGCGGGTTAGTGGTTGTGTCTTTGTGGTTGTGTTTGTGGTTGTGTGTTTGTGGATGTGTGTGTGGTTGTGTTTGTAGTTGTGTGTTTGTGGTTGTGTTTGTGGTTGTGTTTATTGTTGTGTCTTTGTGGTTGTGTGTTTGTTGTTATGTTTGTGGTTGTGTGTGTGGTTGTGTTTGTGGTTGTGTGCTGTGGTTGTGTTTGTGATTGTGTTTGTGGTTGTGTGTTGTGGTTGTGCTTGTGATTGTGTATTTGTGATTGTGTGCTTCTGGTTGTGTCTGTGGTTGTGTGTTTGCGGTTGTGTGTTTGTGGTTGTGTGTGTGTGTGGTTGTGTCTTTGTGGTTGTGTTGTTGTGGTTGTGTGTTTGTGGTTGTGTGTTTGTGGTTGTGTTTGTGGTTGTGTGTCTATTGTTGTGTGATTGTGGGTGTGCGTTTGTTGTTATGTTTGTGGTTGTGTTTGTGGTTGTGTGTTTGTGGTTGTGTCTTTGTGGTTTTGTTGTTGTGGTTGTGTGTTTGTGGTTGAGTGTTTGTGGTTGTGTGTCTGTGGTTGTGTGTCGATTGTTGTGTCTTTGTGGGTGTGTGTTTGTTGTTATGTTTGTGGTTGTGTTTGTTGTTGTGTTTGTGGTTGTGTTTGTGGCTGTGTGCTTGTGGTTATGTGTTTGTATTTGTGTGTTTGTGGTTGTGTTTGTGGTTGTGAGCTTGTGGTTGTGTTTGTGGTTGTGTGTTTGAAGCATACTATCTGCCATTCAATCTGCCATTCTATCTGGCAATCTATCTGACATACTATCTGGCATACTGTCTGGCATACTATCTGGCATTTTGTCTGGCATACTGTCTGTCATTCTATCTGGCATATCTTCTGGCATTCTATCTGGCATTTTATCTGGCATTCTATCTGGCATATTGTCTGGCATTCTATCTGGCAATGTATCTAGCAATCTATCTGACACACTATTTGGCATACTATCTGGCATATCTTCTTGCAGCATTCTATCTGGCAAACTATCTGGTTGAGGTCCAGCGGTGCACACTGCGATCGGATCCTTGCGGTTGAGGTCCAGGCGTGCACACTGCGATCGGATCCTTGCGGTTGAGGTCCAGGGCTGCACACTGCGATCGGATCCTTGCGGTTGAGGTCCAGGGGTGCACACTGCGATCCGGAGCTGGCCAGACAAGATCGGCGAAGCAGATTGGCGAGGAAGGAAGCAAGGAGGAAGGAGGAAGGAGGAGGACGAGGAGGCGGCGGAGGCGGAGGCGGAGGAAGAACAACTGTGATAAAATCTAACAACCCTCACCTGGCAGGTGGGGAACCAATCTCCCTAAATCGGGCTCCCTTTCGGGAAGGAGTGGCTGACAAGAAGGACCGTACAGAGTGCGTTTTTGGATGGACGCTGACATGCCTGACCATGTCCGACTTGAGCATACCGTGGACAGTCTACTTCATATGAAAGGTGCTACATGCAAAGCTCCTGATCCGACCCACTGACCACGATTCCGCAAGAACTTGGGTTGTGACGTCACAACCAACCCTCAATTAAGCATCATCAATAACCATCACAGCCAAACATCCACCTGACATAGGGATTCCTACGTACTCCCCTATCAACTTACCGGCCCTGAACTCTGCAAAAGAAGTAACCCCAGTGGATAGGAAGAATGCATGAACCATCCTTGACAGATTTACCACAACCCCTTAAGCAACACCAATTCGAAGCTGGCAATTGTGCGCCAAGCCAATGTCAAAGGATTGCCGGTCTATAAACTCGATGCTTGTGGTGGGAGCCCATTTTGGTGTCCTTGTCGACGTTCATCGCCGCGAACACTTTGCGCCTTGGACTTGCCAGTTCTCTGGTTCATCACCACTGTGGCATCCTGGAGTAGCCAGCCAATCAACAAAAAAACAAGAAAAAACACCAGCAGCAGCAACAACAACTCCCAAAAAAGGACTCAAAACAACATGTCATCACCATGTTTCCACCTGTTTCTTATTCGAGCATGACCCGTGGGTCCATGATGGTGACCTTGACCCCTCCATGTCCAACTCGACAGACCTCGAAGCGAAGCGGAGACCAAGGGCTGAGGACTCCGCCCACGCCTTGCAACCAGTACCACCAATACCACACTTCATGAATTGAGTTTAAGGCTTAAGGCCCTGGATCAAGACCATCCAGACTTAGTGATCGCATCTCTGAGAAGTCTGGGGACCCATAGTTCTCCAGCGAGCAAGTTTAAAACTCCAACATATCTTTGCCAAAGCTCATCTTGGTTGACACACCCTCGGTGGCCTGCTGCGTCTGCGTCTTTCAGCCTCCGTCCATCGGCACCGCAGACGGGTCCCTCCATCCGTCAGACGGCGTCGCCTGAACCTCACCGTAGGACTCGAAGTGTTTGCGCAGCTCTCGGTCATCCACCCTTTTTGGCGGCGTGAAGAGGCGGCGGTCCGGTTTGTTGTTTCTTTTTTTGAGGGGGGGTAATAGGCACTGCAAGGTGACGAACCCTTTACAGGAGGGTACTGTGGCGCACATGGAAATGGAAATGGATATGGGGGAAGGTTTATGTTGACGTCTTTTTCTCGTCTCCGCGGTGATCGGTGCGGATTTGGGGTCTCAACTCGGTGGACTGCAGTTCATCACTCTTTTGGGTGGTCATCCATGACTGGGGTTGGATGTCCCAATGATGCAATGAAAAACCAATAGGAGTTGTAAAAAGAGGGCGGATACTTTGGGAACTGCTCCTGATCTCCTGCTAAACTGCCCTGCTGGGGGGTTATTATACAACCCCATGGTGCTGGCGGGAAAAACAATGAAGCTTGGTCATTTCATTTTTGTATATTTAGGGGTCTTTCTGGAAAACCTGGGCCCTCCATGCACTTTTGGATCTTCCACCTCTGTCTCATGCTCGGTTCCATCCCTCTTCGGACAAGGGGATGATCCTTAAATTGGCAAAACATGAAAACCACCAAGCTTCATTGTTTTTTCCTACTAACACCATGGGGTTGTATAATAACCCCCCAGCAAGGCAGTTACAGCAGGATCTGATCCATCGATGGTCTCTATTCCTACGTAGAACTATGTAGAACTCCTACGTAGAACGGACACCGCGAGCTCCTCTTCAGGGACCGACGATAGGCAACGCGGTGGTATCAACGATCACTCCCAGCAGTAACAAGACGGGGTGCGA